TAATTATTTTATATTTGTCTTTTGGTTATAATTTTTTTATTATATAGCTTCTGCTCAAGCTATACTTAAATTGTGTTTACCTCTTATTAAGTTATCTCCGATGGGCAAAGTTCAGCTTTTTGTTGATATATTTTTAATCAATAACAGCCAAAAATACAAATACGTAGAAAAGTGTCTGTGCAGGTATTTCAAAAACATCCTCTTCGTACTACTATTATTTTCTTCTAACTTCAAATATATTACTAAAAAATTCTTACAACAAATATTATTTTTACATTTTAAAAATAGATACATATATGCACAAATAAAAAATTATAAGTTTTTAGTTTATTTATTTATCCTTTAAGTGTTTTAACCAAATAGGAAATTTTATTTTATTCCTATGTTTAGTTTTAATGAAAATATTATTTATATATAATTTTAAAGTGTTTACATTTTTTTTCTAAAATATTAGCTGCATAAATATTTTATTTTTAGTATAGATTTGAATTAAATCATTTAATTCTAATACATTTTATAAATATTATTATTTTTAAATTTATATATGTATTTCTCATATTAATTTTTTGCATACAATTTGAATCTGTAGCTGTTTATCATTGCCACAATGTTGTTGGCCCTTGGACTGGCCATTCAGCCAGTCGAGGAGCACGAAAAGCCTCAGAAGCATCTGGGTGCGGTACCACAGCACGCTGCTCATCTGCCGGAGCACCACCAGAAGCATCATGCGGTGGCTCCAACAGCTGATCATCACAAGTCCGCACGGCATCACAAGCATCATCAACACATTGAGCCCAAAGACAAGGAGAATGTAAATCATGGTCGTGTGCCAATCGCTCCACATCATTCCAAGGCGAGCCGTCATGGCAGACGCCACAGGCTGCCCAAGAACGAGAAAGCATCCAAGAACAATCATTCACAGCATTCGCATCATAAGACCGCGCATCACAAGAAGCCAACGCACAAGGGACATGCGCGCAAGCATCATTAGAAGCTTCATATGTATAAATGCGAGGGCTGTATGAAAAAGTTGCCGAACGACGGAGAGTGAGTTGAAGCGGAGAAAAGGCTAAAGTAAACATTAATAAAAAGGTTTATTTCAAAATTTATCTGCAACTCCACAACTTTTCATGCCCCCCTCGCATTACATATATATAAACCTATATATAAACATGGCTTTAAACAAATTTTAACCTAACATTTTGTTTAGTTTAATGCACAAAAATGTTTCGTTGCCACAATAAAAAAAAAAAACTAAACAATTAAAAAAGTAAGGGAAAGCTTG